AAGAAAGAAAGAAAGAAAGAAAGAAAGAAAGAAAGAAAGAAAGAAAGAAAGAAAGAGAGAATATAGCATTAAGTGGTGATGGTGATAAGTGTGAGGACAAGGAGGAGGATACTTACAGGTACTGATCAAGCACGTCATGAAAAGGAACACTTTGAAAAGTGACCTCATTTGAAAGAAAGAAAACTTGATAAATAATAACCCCAATGATTAAGTCTCCAGACTGATAATACTTGTGAACAATTGGAAGAGGACCACTGAGGTTGCAGTTGCAAACAGGAGAAACATACATCATCTTCGGAAAAAAGAATAAAACCAATGTTCTGAATAGAAGCAACTCAATATAAAATATGGTCATTGTATATATCAAAGTGTAACTCCAGTGTTACCATTCAACTGAGGAGTTGGGTTGGAATTAACCAGCCTCTCATGAAAGTGAAGACAATGAAATATCACAACTCAAATATGCATTCTACTTGCTCTCCCTACATGCAGTTTTATATTTCTGAGATTATATTAATGTAATGTAATGTTTCAACCTGAGGTCATTGTTTTGTCAGTGTTTACTGGGATTCCCTAGAGATATGGGGAACAAAGGATAATGATAACACTAATTGTATAATTACTTGGGAGATAATAGCTTACTTGCAATAGTACTTTCTTTGCAAAATGTCAAAAGGAAACATGTTTATTTTATCTCAGTAGAACAGCTGCACTGCTGTTAATTTTTAAAGCTTAGACATGAAGCAGAAAATGCGGGGAGCACCATATGCACAGGAAGGGAAGGGAAGGAAGAGAAAGAGAGAAAGAGAAAGAAAGAAAGAAAGAAAGAAAGAAAGAAAGAAAGAAAGAAAGAAAGAAAGAAAGAAAGAAAGAAAGAAAGTTTTGGGACATTTTCATTCATGGAATAAAATATGTAATATGTAATAATTGACAAAACCCAGCAGGCATTGTATGTCCTTAACTTGGCATGGAGGCTGCCAAGACAAGATAGCATCCACCTTGCCAGGATCCATGGCAATACTAGTGGAGGAAATGCCATGGCCTAGGAAGTCTATTGTGATCCTCTCGAATTCACACTTAGCTAGCTAGGCAAATAAATAATTTTCTTGAAGCCACTATTATACAATTCTTACATGTTTATGCAAGGGAATTAGAAAAAATCAAGATGTCATCGAGGTAATTTATGACATAGTGGTCCAGGAGATCTTGGAACACATTGTTCATGAAGTGCTGGAAGACTGAGAAAGCATTAGTCAATCCAAAGGGCATGACTGTATATCCAAAAAGCCCATACTGGGTACAAAACACAGTCTTCTATTCATCCCCTTTCTGGATCTATGCCAAGTTATAAGCACGCCGAAGGTCCAGCTTGGTAAACACCGAGGCATTTGGGAGGTGTTCTAGAAATTCTGAAATAAGTGGCAAAGGATAATGATTGCACACCATCATCTGGTTCAGTTGCCAGTAATCATTGCAAAGCCTAAGTTCTCCCTATTTCTTTTTCACAAATAATACAGGAGTTGCTGTAGGAGAGGACAAGGGTCAAATAAAGCCTCTCTTTAGATTTTTGTCAATGAACTCCCTCCAGGCTGCCAACTCAGGTTCTGAGAAGCAGTTGAGACACCCAACTAGAATCTTGGCCCTGGGTATCAGATCAATAGGGCAGTAATATGGTCAGTGAAGAGGTAACTGATATGCTTCTCTTTCACTGAATACATCTGCAAAGTCTCAGTACTTGGAGGGGAGATCATGAAGCATTTCTCCCTCTTGTTCAGTAGCTAAGGTTGTAGGAATGGCAGCCATGTGGCAGTTACAACATGGAGCATGGAAAGTTATGGTTCCTGTAGACCACAAAATCTGTGGATCGTGTGCTTGACACCACTCCAAGCCCAAGACAATGGGAAAGTGAGATATTGAAGCAGGGTAGAACTCAATCTTTTCCTGATCATTTCCCAGTTGCATGTTTAATGGTGTCATGGCCCAAGCCATAGGACCTGATCATAGAGGATGACCATCAATTGTTTTGACCACTAGGGGTGGTTGGAGGGTGTGCTTTGGAATGCCATGGTCTGCTGTGAACTGGAGATCCATGAAGTTGGTTGTAGCTCCAGAATCAAGCATGGCTCAGGTTTCCAAAACAGGCTTTCCTGGTATCTTCAATGAAACTGAGATCACTAGGTGCTTGACGGTAGTGGAACGTGGTGTTTGGGCTTGTGTTGTCAGTACTTCCCCCTGTTTTAATAGCTCACCTAAACCAGGTGGGATCCATTTCTGGAGAAATCTGAGTAGGATTTCTTGGCAGGGCATGTGGCTACTGTATGTCGCTTGTCCCCATAGTACAAGCAAAGCCCCTCTCTATGCCTCTGTGCCTTCTCAGCATCTGTCAGAGGAGGACACACACCCCAATCTGCACGGGTTCCTCTGGAGAGGTTTTCACCAGACTAGGCACAGGTGTGGCAGGCTTAACAACATGTTTGTTAGCATGGGCTCTAGCCTTTCATTGTGGTATCCACCCATCTATTCCCAGGCACAGCTGAACCAATTGCTGTATCGTGCCTGGACCTTCAGCCCTTGCTAACTCACCCAAAATTTCATCTGCCAGCCCTTCCTGAAACTGGTCAATAAGCGCAGCTTCATTCCAGGCCAAATCTTGGGAGATGAGCCTAAAAGCACTTACATACTCAGCCACTGAGCTGCACCTTTGTTTCAGTTCACACATTTGGTGATCCGCTGTGTGAGCTTTCACAGGGACAGTATACGTGGCTTGGATCTGTGGACTGTCACCACAAAGTCATCCAACAGGGGGCTTTGTTGTGTTAATAAGGGCATGGCCCACCTAGCAGCATTTCCAGATAAGAGGCTGATTACAAAGCCACCTTGATCTCTGTCTGTTGGAAAGTCCTCCCCTCTTAAGCTCATATACAGATTGCATTGTGCTCAGAAAGCAGGAAATGAGACAGTGTCCCATCAAACTTTCCTGGCCAGGAAATGGGACATTTTCGGTGGGAGGGTGCTGCTGCTTACCCTGGTTGGGCCTGCAAGGCTTGCACCTGAGCTAAGAGCAGAGCAACTTGCTGGCTCAGCTGGGCGTTCTCAGAAGTAAGTTGCTCCATGCTGTTAGTAAGTTTCACTCCCCAGTCAGCCGAGAGTTAGTTAGGCTGGACGCTAACTGTCCTGCTTCAGGTTTTAATCACACAAACACATGCAAGTTCTTGGGGAATTATCAGTTTTGCTTCTAGGCAGAAGAGTTTGCAGGGAAGCAAAGGAATGTAAACGAAGCAAGGGAAAGGAAAAGCACAGGTCTGCCTGCAGTTTCCTTTGGAAACAGGATTGCACAAAAAAATCATCTAGCTGGTCCAAGGTTTCAGAGAGCTGGGTTGAGGTTGTCAGCTAGTCCAAAGGTCAGAGGTCCAAGAAGCAGAATCCACACACAAATCAAATAACATACACAAGTCAGATGTTGTTTCCAGCAAAGAACCTGCCTCAGAGCTGCTCTTTAAATAAGACTGCAACCAGCTGTTGCTAACCAGACTCCTTGCTCTTTTGCTCAGCAAGTAGCCTAACAGACTTGCTCTGCTCTCCTTTCTACTTGCTTGGTGTGGGGACTGGGAGGCCTCATGTCATCCTCACCTAACAGATCTAGCTACTCAGGTGGTGCCTGTGATTGGTCAGCCTCATGTGATGTCTGGCTTTGTCCTTCCTGAGGCTGACATTCCACAGGCTCAGACAGAGCAGCTTTTTCAGTGTCAGACCAAGAATCTGAGTCCAGAGGCTAGGCCATGACAATGGAGCAGGAAAAGACCTAGAGTCAAACAAAAAATCCTACAAGATTTCTTTTTTTATTACCTATATTTATTAAGAGTGTTACATAAGTTAAAGACAAATCTAAAGAAAAGAAAAAAAGAAGAAGAAAAAGAAAAAAAGAAACTAAACTTATGAAATATAATGACTTCCCACCTTCTCTTCAACAAGTAGTTACAATCTTATAATTCTAATATATTATCCATAAGTCCCAATAAAAAAGGATACAGGTTTTTTCATGATTTTGATCTTTAAAATCTGTTGCATCATTGTATGAATTTGTATCCAAAATTTCTTTGCTTTTTCACAGGTTCACCATGCATGATAAAATGTCCCCACATCTTTTTCACATTTCCAACACTGGTTTGAGATATCTTTCTACATTTTTGATAATTTCTGATTATCATATGCCAATGATACATCTTTTTATAAAAGTTTTCTCTTAAATTATGACACAATAAAAAATCCTACAAGATTCCAAAGGGAAAGGTGGCCTCACCTTTCCAAACTTTAAACTGTACCCTAAAGTAAGCTGCCTGTCATAGATAATAGAGTGGATAAAATCCCTGAATAGCAGAAAGGCTATTTGGGAAGGAGCTGGTCTAGCCAATGGACTTCATAGTTATTTATGATTCAGAGATACAAAGGAGGGTAAAAACTTAAAAGCATGCATTATTAGACAAAATAAATCACCCTAAAACAAGTGTGATGACCATACAGGAACATCTATGTACATTTGTCCACCTAAGAGAGGGTGATATTAAATACGCAAGTGAATATCATGGTTCAATCCACCAGAGATTCTTCACAGGGACAATGGGAAAAGTCTGTCCAGAAAAATCCATTCTTTCCAAGAATTGATGGTAATATAGAAACATTTTCAGTTTTGACCAGAATGCAATTGAAACAAAGGAGAAGGATCAAGAAACATATTCCCTAATTAAAGGACCACTTATTCCAATGGTTCTTAAACTGGGAGTTATAACCCCCAAAGGGGTTATTGGGTAATATGGATGTATCCTGGGGGTAATAAAATAAATTGTATCTGCTTGTTTGTGAGTAGAGAATCCAGTTTGGGTTTGGGATGGTCACTGCCAAGACACTTGTGACAAAGAACAGAGTCTGGGGTTTTTCTGGGGGGGTGAGGAATGGAATGGCATTATTCAAAATGGGGTAGTTGGGTCAAAAGGTTTAGGAAACACTGACTTAGTCACATGCAAGTCTTTCACAAATGAAGGAGGTTGGAAGTTGGAAATAGTATCAGTTGAGAAAGTTGGACCAAGTACATAATATCCAGTGCATATCATTGGACTTACTATAACTCTGACCTAGCCATGTACACATCAAACAGACATCTTTATCACTAGATCTTCAGGGACTAGAGGACTTCCAGGAAGGTGATCATTTGCCCTGTAATTAGCAAAATCACTATGTTCCAGTTCTGTTGCTTTGGAGGTATCAAAGCTGCATGAAGATTTCTGGGGAGAAAAAGGCCAGTAAAGCCATACGCAAATGGTAGCTGTGCTATCCTTGGTAAAGACCTCTCACAATGCACCTTGTCCCGCTGAAAGTTCAGAGTTTAGCTACAACAAGCAAAGAATTGTCACTGGGAGTTTTAACCATTCTTTCTTTTGTTTCTTTATTTTTTTTTAAACCACCTTCATCCTTTTAAACGGAGATTTCCCCCTAGTTCTGGTCAAGACAAATGTTTCTTTCAGTTATCACAGCTTTTCTTTTTTCCTGGATCATGTACCTGAACAGATGGGGTGGTGGCTGTACACAGCTGGCTTTCAAAACCCTTTTGCTCTTCTTCTTACTTCCTCAGCATGTCCATGAGAGTTTGAAATCCATCAGCATCCAGCCCTCCAACGCTCCAGGGAAATTTTCTACATCCAGAGCTGATGTGATCTTTGGGGGTTTTTCTTCCGTTGCTTATAAACTTTTAACCTCTCAGACTTTCAAAAAATGGCCAGACATGTACAAAATGGGAGCGTAAGTACATTTTTCTTCCTTGAATGATGTGCATTCCAACATCGAGGAAGCTGAGAGAATCAAGAGACAGATAATGCTGGTTCAGATGTTGCACTTACGCCTTTGCTGTCAGGTCAGGATTACTTTTAACTGAACAGCTATAGTAACAGAAACTTGTAGGTCTGGATGTGTTTCCCACTCCCTCACTTTAGCTTCCTGAGAACGAGGCAGGAATTTTTCTGAGACATTTTCTCAAGTTAGTTTCTTGCTCCAAGCTCAAGACCAGCTAATCTGAACATTGCCTTGGTGGTGGCTCTTCCTCCTGGCCTTCAAAGCCATTTCCTATGCAATAATAGGTAGAGCATTACAACTGACAAAAGTTCACCTATGATCTTGTAATGGGAAAGGCGCAGGATTAAATGACTGACCACTTGGCCAGAAGGAATCCTTCCTAGGTGACTAAGGATTGAAATCATTGGCTCCTATTCTGTTGCTAAAATAGCAGCAGTTTCTGAGCTGGTCACCTTAATATGCAAAGCACAGCCTGTTCCAGTAAAATCCAAAAATAAGCATCTCTACAGAAACTACTTAAATTATTTGCAACTTGTTTGCCTCATTTTCTAGTATAATGATATCTGCTTGTGCACTCTTATTTCAGGCTGAGGCCAAAGAACTACCAGCATATTCTTTCCATGTTTTTTGCCATTCATGAGATCAACCAGGACCTCAAGCTACTACCAAACACCACACTAGAAGTGGGGGTTTATGAGAACAATTTCAATGTTAATCTTGCCAGTAAGAACATTCTAGACCTTCTTTTCCTGAATCAAGGGAGTCCCATCAACTACAACTGTTTTAGGAGGAGGAGGAGGAAGCTCTTGGCTACCATTGGTGGCCTCACCTCCCCAAACTCCATCCAGATGGCCCACATTTTGAATACCTACAAGATTCCACAGGTAGGAGGCTCTTTCACAGATTCTCTTGTAGCTGCAGGAAATGATCATTCACTTCCCATATCATCCCTCCCCACAGAATTTGGACAGTTAAAAAATATTACTCAATAAACTAAACACTATCTCTTTTCCTATTATCCTTATTATATTTTCACATTTCAATTACTTGAAAAATCAAAGAAACTTCAGAGTGAAAAATGCTGAAGGCTAAAAAACTTCACGTATGTTGGCTTTTCCTCCCAGTAATCCTCACCAGAATTGGCCATGGTAAAAAATTGTGTGTCAGCCCAAAATATCCCGAGGGCAACCCATTCCTTCGAAATATTATGAAGAAGACAGAACAACACAATATAATGTTGATGAAATGGGGAAAGAATTGTGAGCATAAAAATGGACAGGGTCTATTAAAAATATTGATAAAAAAACATACTGGATTAAGATGTATGTGGAGGAAAAGTCACAAGTAATTCATCTGGTGCAGAAGAAAACATGCACAAGAAAAACAGGGTCAGCACTAAGTCGGATTTTATCTTTTCAGTTCATTGAGGTGCATGGTAAAGGTACAGGGAAGGGTGGAGTGAAAACTCCCCAGAACTCATTTATTATGGAGCAAAATATTCATTGGCAACAGTGGTCAAAGAAGACCTGTGCTTGTTGCTCAATTTCAGTCCCCAGAAGTTTTAACCAGCATATCTAATGATGGGAAACGATAGAAGCTGTAGACTCCACTACATCAAGTAAATTTGGATGATGGAAGATTTTGTGTGTGATTCAACCACTACATTAAAGTTTTATGTTTTCAGGACAAAAGGATCTGCTTCTCAGGTTAATTCTCAATGCATCTTCCTTCCACACAGCTCGGTTATGGCTCCTTTGACCCAGTCCTAAGTGACAAAAGGAGGTTCCCTTCCTTCTTCAGCATTGTTCCGAGTGAAAACTTACAATACAAGGGGATTGTTCATTTACTGAAGCATTTTGGATGGAACTGGATTGGCCTTTTAGTATCACAGGATGAGAGTGGGGAAACCTTTCTCCAAAATCTCCAGCCAATGCTGTTCCAGAGTGATATTTGCATTGCTTTGAGGGAATTGATCCCAATAATAAAAGCTGATGAAGAGTCCTTTTATGTGAGAGTATTAAACGTAAGACATGCTATCTTGCAGAACAATACCAATGTGTTCTTGGTCTCTGGTGATGCCCAATCTATGGAAGGTTTGCAATGGATCTTATCAATCTGTGAATTTAACAGCAGGAGCCCAATGAACCACAGAGTGTGGATCATGACCTCGCACTGGGATTTCACTGCTGTTGTATTGCCATACATTAGTTTCCCAACACAATCCTACAATGGTTCCTTATTCTTCTCATTCCACACAAACCTGGTGCCA